GAGAACCACAGTCGGAGTCAATGTCGTTTTAGCTTGATAAAACTAACCCAGGTGTGGTGCCACTTGGGAACCTACAGCCTGCTTGTTCTTCATGACAAGTTTGGAGCCAGCCTGAGCTACAGAAAATTTGGAGCCAGCTTGTGCTACAAAGTGAGACCCTCAAGGTGGCTCAGCAGGTAAAGGTGCTTGTAGGTAAGTCTGAAGACCTGAGTTTGAGCCTTGGAACTCCTATGAAAGAGGGAGGAGAAAACCAGCTCCACAAAGTTGTCCTCTGACCACCACTGTGGCACACGCACCCAAAGACATGACCCACTACCCCCACACAGATTTTGGAAACCAAGGACAAGGGGCTGGGGAGATGGCTCAGCAGGGAAGAGACAGCTGCTCTTGTAGAGGATTTGGCTCTAGGCACCCCTGTGGTGACTCACAACCATCCTTAACAGAGGTGCCAGGGGATCTGATGCCTTGTTTTGGACTCCCGGTGCACCAGGCTCACACATGGTGTGCATACATATATGCAGGAGAAACATTAATACACGTTGTTTTAAAACTCTAAAAAGCATTAAAACAAGGACAAAGTTTTAAGTAGCATGCGGGAAAGCCACTCATTTCTGCAGAAGGCAGTTAACCATTGATCCTCTTGACTCCATCTCAGTGTGTGAGCCACTGGGAAAGCAGAGCCCGAGAAAAGGCAGTTTGTTTGGGGATGACTTATGGGATAGGAATAAAAACCATAAAAGCTGCCTGGGGACAGAGTAGTGGTTAAAGGTGTCTGAGCTGGGGCATGAAGCTCCATGTCACTGCGAACCTGAGGGTCTGCATGGAAGTGGAGCCCTCACTCTGCAGTAGAAGCCGCCTGCCAAAACACTTCCACTTCCCCGGCTGGGTGTCACCGCTGGGGAACTTGTTCCTCTGGCTTGAGAGAACTCCCCAAGGCAGGAAGTAGAGGGCCCACTGGCTCTTAGAGCGGGAAGCTAGTAGAACATGGGCCACAGCACAAAGATAGACTGAGGGGAAAGGGGGCCTCATTTACCGAGAGTTTCTTTTTCAAAGATCTTTGTCTATTCTTCACAGCACAAATACACCCAGAATAAGAAATGTCAAACCAGTTTCACTTCCTCCTTCTGAGAAACGAACACTTGAGAGTTTGGAGAAATTCCATTATCAACACCTAGATCGGTGAACAGGTCAGCACTGGTTGACAGCTGTCCTCGGAGGACACTGACTGACGACACACCATCCTACACGTATCATATCCTTCCTATATCCTGTACAAAAATGGTGTCCCTGGAGTTACAACATGCAGCAACACAGCCTTGCTTGGAGGAGTTGCTCTAAATAAATTCCCGAAAAGGACAGGCGTGGAGGAAATAGCACCAAAAGTTATTTGATTCAGGGCATTAGGAAAATATAAATCAACAGTTCATGTATACAGGCTATTTTGTCCCCCAGAACACATAAGGCAATGTCTAGAGACAAATCTGGCTGCCACTAGTTGCCACAGAAATCTCACAGGAGATGTCAAGTTGCTACAAGTACCCGCAAGGCACTGGGCAACCCCTTTACTAGCAAAAACTACCCTACTACACACACCAATTGTGTAAAAGACATCTGATCATTGATATTAAATATGTATGTGTGTATCATTTACACATTTAAATACATTTAATTTGATACAATTAAAAGCCAATGTTTACATGCTAGCGATACAAAGTGTTGCGTTAGTACCACCAAACCCAAAGGAATTGGTGAGTCCAATTCGCCGACCCTGGGGTTTCCATTCCTGCGCCTCCAGAGGAACGTAATTGAGATCAAATTCTGGCTCCGTACAATCCAGGTTTAAAGTCGGTGGGAGTTTTTGATGGTAACAAGCCAGTGCAGTAAAAGCTGCCTCCGCCGCCCCTGCAGCCCCCAGCAGATGCCCGGTGGCTCCCTTTGTGGAGGATACGGCAAGGGCCCCGGCGTGATCTCTAAAGAGCCTCTTGATGGCTCTGTTTTCAGCAGCATCACCCAGTGGTGTGGAGGTGGCGTGTGCATTGACATAGGATATCTGTTCAGACAACACACCTGCATCTTTTACAGCAGCAGCCATGCATCTAGGAAGAAAAGAAAATTACCAAATGAAGTTTAATTTTAACAGGAGATTGTTCACCTGAGGAGCTTGTGTAAAGATATAAAGATTTCCAAGTACACCAGGTAAGCTCCATCCTGAGTGTCATAGCAGAGACCCCATGATCCACGAAGCCAAAAATAGCTAGTATTTGCCTTTACAGGAAATCCCGTGAACTCCTGGCAGGTTTAACTCAATAAAACATAGCATGGTCTAAGCTAAGAAAGTAACATATTATCTTGGACTGTTTTCAAAGTATAATCTTTAGTCTGGAGCTAGCTAGAGATGTAGACTTCTGAGTGTCAACCCAGATGCACAGCCAGAATCCACAAGCAGCACTCTAGCAAGACCTCAGGGTGATCCAGCTGAGAAATGCCACTCTGTAAGGAACAGAACCCAACCAGACACACCTAGCAGGCTTCATCTGTATTCTCCAGGTCTGCTAAGGGTTCAAGGGGAGACTGAGGAAGGGAGCAGAATGATGGCCAAACAGGGAGTCAGCAAAGACACAGCTCTACTGGATTTGACTAAAGTCCATTCAATTTTTGTTTAAAGATGTTTGAATGTTTTCAAACATTTCAAGCAAAGAATTTTTAAAAAAAATACATTCAGTCTAAGATAGAAAAATATACATACTATACACCACAACCAGATAACTTTTTTTTTTAATTTGAATTCTAGTAGTGTCTTACAGGAAAAAAACAAAACAAAACTCTGAACAGAACCAGTTTTTACCTGAAGGCACCTTCTCCTTCAGAATCAGGGGCTGTTATGTGACCAGCATCCCCTGAGAGTCCATAGCCCAGAACTTCTGCATAGATCCGGGCACCTCTCTGAAGAGCATGCGCATGTTCTTCTAGCACCAGCACAGCAGCGCCCTCGCCCATGACAAAACCATCTCTCTCTGGATGAAACGGTCGGCAGGCCAGCTTGGGATCTGGGTTTGTGCTCAGAGCCCGGGCTCTAGAAAACCCAGCAAGAGATAATGGACTAATGCAAGCATCTGTGCCCCCAGCCACCATCACATCGGCATCACCGTGGGCTATAAATCTGAAGGAGTCTCCCACCGCATGAGCTCCTGTTGTGCAGGCTGTGGACACCGCGTGATTGGGGCCTTTGAGTTTATAGCGAATGCTGACCTGTCCCGCAGCCATATTGATCAGAATCTTAGGGACAAAGAACGGGCTGACTTTATTATAACCTTTGGTCTGAAACATCAAAGCCGTTTCGGAAACAACTTCAAGAGGAACCATGCCCATGCCAATGGCAACACCAGTCGCCACCTGATCTGCTTCTAACTTCGGATGCCAGCCGGAGTCTTTCAGGGCCAACTCTGCTGCCCCGATAGCCATGATGGTGGGAGATGACATGGACTTGGTGTCCGATTTGGACACAAAGTTTTGTTCATTGAACTGACCTTCCTCAGTACCTCTTGGCACATAAGCAGCCACACTGCAAGGAATACTCTTGTACTCCTCACCAACGACAGAAACAATCCCACTCTCTCCTCGGAGAAGCCGATCCCAAACTAGCTGAGTGCCAACACCAAGTGGGGTCACCAGCCCGATGCCTGTGATGACAACTCGCCTACGCGACGTGGCTGCTGGCAGAGCTCCAGAAGACTGGCGTTTGCTTATTAACCAACAGTATGACGCTGGATGTGGAGGAGAGCCTGTGGCTTTTAGAAATTTTTGTAAGCCGTTGGACAACATGGTTGAAATTCACAAGATCAGAAACACGTTTATTCCTGAAACAGACCACAAGAGACAGAAAGGGCCGTTTAAACAACGGAAGGGTCTAACGATTACCCTAGATGTGCTTGCTGTCTTGTGAGAACGGCCGCAGAGAAATGCCTCCCTCGTTTGGATGCAACTTTCGTGTTTAAGCTACGAGGGACCTCAGTCAGCCAACTAATAGCCAGCTCACTAGTTTTCAGGAAAACTGGACAAGGAAAGCCTCGAGGCCAGCCCACTCTGATCAGATTACAGCAGGCATCCTTCTCTGGGCTCACCGAGGATTACTGTACGGTGTGGGCTGAGTATACGTGGCACTCCCACGGCCGTCGCGGGCCTATTCTGGGAGGCGCCCTCTACCTACTTCCGGAGGCCCCGCCACAGCCCTCGCAGCCGTGGCAGGCAGGCGTCCGCACTTCCCGGGGTCAGCATTAGGAGCTCTCAGGGCTCCACGATCACGCCACGCCCTTCACCCCCACCCTGAAACCCGGGTGCACTCCGCCACCAGGGCCAACCGCGGCCGCTACCTGAAACAAGAATGCCGGCGCCCAGCTTATGCGCATGCGCACACTGTCCCACAGATCCATTTCCGCCCGGAGACTGGCGCCTGGTGTCAGAGGTCGGACAAGCGGGGCAGGACTTCCGCCGGGCTCCGGGACTGAGTTCGGCTCTCCGTCTCCTCTAGTTGAGACTTAGCGGTGACGCACAGATGTGTCGGTGTTGCCAGAGAAGGGATGGAGTCATTTCCTCGGGACATTCCGGGGAGGACAAAAAGCTGTATAGCCTCAGTCAGGCTCCCTGGTATCTGGGAGGAAAACAGCGAATAGTACTCTCGAGAATGCCACACAAGAAACCGAGGTCGTTTGAACAGATCATCCAAATGCCACGCAGCCACTGAAAACAATGCTGCCGGTCACTGTTTCGTAATGTGCAAAGACGCCGAGAGCATTTGTTAGCAGGCGTCAGTTGCAAAACAGAATATAGCGCTTTCAGATTTAAAGGTCTGCAAAGAAACTGGGCATGATGGTACACGCCTGCAATTTCAGCTCTTGGGAGGTAGAGGATCAGGAACTCAATTGTCATCTGGGTATCCAGTTCAAAGCCAGCCTGGGCTACCTCCCTGACGACCCTGTCTTTAAAATCAAAACCTGAAGTCTGTTTGTGATGGGCAGTGGTTGTGGTGTCCCGGCTCCATTTTTTCCTTGCCCTTATTTACATAGTAAACAAATAGTGTATAGTAAGTAAATGATGCTTCTGTAAAAATAAAACTTTATATTGCTGACTTATGGGGGGAAGTGACTGGAATATGCCCAATATCTGACGTGGAAACAAGAAAAACACGTTTATTTCTGAACTTAGGAAAGTTTAACTTACTCATTCAAAGCAGACTGTGAATCTGTAATGGGAAAGTACGACACGCAGCAACACAGCAAGGTGGTGCTTTTTGACCAGCTGCTGAAATCTGTCCCAGGTGTGAGCTTTGGTTTTTCTTCTTCGGAGGACGGATTGACCGTGCCATCTGCACCTGAATCTTTTACTCATGCTGGTGTCCTTATGGGTGATACCTCTTTGTGGCCATTGTGGCCAAGTATACTCAAACCGTAGAAACGGATTTGGGTCAAGTTTATCTTATTCCTCATTACTCCTGGGTATGATTTGTTTGAAAATCTACTTTGTCTATAATAATGTTTAAGGAATCCAAGTTTGTCCTTGATCTCAGGAATCTCCACTTGCTTAGTAAGATCTCCCTGCAGTGAAAATAACGTTACTCCACCCTGTCCCTTTTGTTAATCTGGATGTAATACTGCCAATTGCAGGTAGCCTCGGGTCTCAGAAGGTGCTGGGGTATGTAGACTGTGGTACTCTGGCTATGCAGCCCTGGAGAAGGTATGCCGTCATCCATGTTGCAGTGAAACTTGCTGGTGGTGCAGACGTTTTGGAGCCTCCCACACTCCTGTAAGCAACTCCTCAGCCACACTCTGTAAGTAGCCAAATAAACTTACAGGTATTCCAAGGTGGACTTTGGGGTTCCCGCTTTGATTTATTGCTCCTGCCCTGTATTTGTTTACATCTTCCCAGAGAAAGAATTCTCCAAGCAATGAGTACAGACATAAGTGATATAACAAGACTATGATCTCAACTTGTGTTTCTCTCGCTGATCATTTTATTTCATCTGGAAAGAGGTAAAGAGTTTATAAAATCTGAATAGTTGTATGTGAGTTAGTACTGTATTTCTTGCTAAAATATCATGGTGTAGTGAACACCAATCTTGAAATTGGTATTCAAATTGCTTATCGTAGCCTCCTTTAAAAGTTCTGTTGCTCAAAACTTCATTTCCAAATATAGTTCCCAAGTAAATAAACTTTCTGTCCAACAAGTCGGACTTCCCACTGCTTGTAATATTATTGGAACACAAAGGAGACAAGGTGGTCAGTGCTACCTCATAAACTCAGGAAATGCTTCCAACAAGTGGGCCTTGATTTCAGGTTATGAACTAAACAAATGCATGGCTCGTACCTGGGTGGAAATATCTTTTCAGTAGGCACAAGACACCAGGTCCATACGGCCAGTGTCAAATTTGAAAAGTTAGGCTCACTAGAGCTATAGGACCTGAATTCCATTTCCAGAACTAACTTTCTTTCTTTTCTCTCTCTCCTCTCTCTCTCTCTCTCTCTCTCTCTCTCTCTCTCTCTCTCTCTCTCTCTCTTTCTCTCTCTCTCGGTTTTGGTTTTTAGAGACAGGGTTTCACTCTGTAACCCTGGCTGTCCTGGAACCCATCCTGTAGACCAAGCTAGTCTTGAACTCACAGAGGTCCACCTGCCTCCCAAGTGTTGGGATTAAGGGGTATGCCACCAGGGCTCATAAAGGTTGGTGTTATGGTTTAGATAAAATGCTGTGGTTCCCCTGAGGGCCAGCGGCAGGCCACAGGGGGCAGCCAGGTCCTACCAACCGAGGCCTCTGTGGGTCCCAGGTGGGAAGGAGGCAGCGAGTGAGAGAGACCTCAGCAGATCAGTGGAGCAGCTGGTCCCAAGAGGAACCATGGCAGGTGACCTGAGACAGATAGGCATGCCATGCAGAGAGAGAGTTTGGGTATAGTTTATTCAGTGGGTTATGGAAGGAAAGGAAAGTGGGGGGAGAGGAAGCCACAGCCACCTCTTCTGAAGAGAGACCTCTTCCAAAGAGAGGTTAGGGTTAGGGTTAACTCTCTTAAAGGGACAGGACAGACTATTACATTCCCATCTCTTTTTTTTATAAGAAAAAGGCAGAAGGTTAGGCACAACAGGTTAAAGGAATTGGGACAGTGGATTCTCAAGACTGCTTCCTGCTTATTTGAGGGCATTGTCTTGGCGGGGCAGAACCTGAGAAAACTGGATGCTGGTCACATCCTAGGGTAGCTGGTTTCTTTGCTCCTGTCTGGTGTTTATGGTATGGGAATATAATGGTCTGTCCTGTCCCTTTAAGAGACAAGCCCTGACACACACACACACACACACACACACACACACACACACACACACACCTCCGCTCTTCTACCAAGGCAAGAACATCTTCCTTCTTCTTCCAACCTACAGGCTCTCTTTCTGTCCAGTCTCTCATTGAAAGAGGTATCTGTACCCTCCATTCCTGCCCCCAATTCCTCACTCTCTGTTCTCTCTCTCTCTCTCTCTCTCTCTCTCTCTCTCTCTCTCTCTCTCCTTCTCTCCTCCTTCCCTTTCCTTCCATAACCCACTGAATAAACTATACCCAAACCCTCTCTCTGCATGGCGTGCCTATCTGTCTCGGGTCATCCACCATGGCTCCTCGTGGGACCAGCTGACCAGCCAACATCTCTCACTCACTGCCTCCCACCCACCTGGGACCCACAAAGGCCTTGGTGGTGGGACCTGGCTGCCCCTCATGGCCCACTGCCACCCCTTGAGGAACTGTGCTGTTTTATCTAAACCATTACAGTTCGTCTTACAACCATTTCCATACTCTTATAGTGGAAAGAAAGAGCCAATTCCCAGAACTTTTCCTCCGATCGCCAAATGCCATGGCTAGGGCATGTGTATGTATGTACTTCACACACACACACACACACACACACACACACACACACACACACACACAAATAATTTTAAAGCATTTTAAAATAAAAATTTGAGGAGCTGGAGAAATGATGCCGAGGCAAAGGGCTTATAGTTCAAGAGGGTTAATGGCTATAATTGTGGGGGCAGCATGGCAGCAGGCAGCAAGCATCGTGGCTGGAACGAGAAGCTGAGAGCTCACATCCTTCACCGTGAGCACGAAGCCAAGAAAGCACACAGAAAGTAGGACAAGGATATATATAACAACAAAGCCCAACCCTGGTGAGTTCTTCCAGGAGGGCTGTCCTTCCTAAGTCCCCACACTGCTACTGATGGGAACCCCAGCGTTCAAATACTGGAGCCTAGGGGGAGCATTTCTCATTCAGTCCACTATGTCTCGCTCCCTGGTCTTCATAGGCTCGTGGCCATGTGATGCAAAGTGCATTTAGTGCAACTTCAGTAGTCCCTGGAGTCTCTCGGTCTCAACACTGTTTGAAAGCCTACAGTCTCTTCTACGATGCAAAGCATCCCAGAATGTAACTCTCTGGAAAATGAAAAGGTAAATCACAGATTTGCAACATATGACACAGAATTTCCGTTACCGACCCAAAAGGGTGGGAGTGGAGCATGGTAAGAAAGTCCTGGACCAAAGCATGAAGAGAATAGAGACTAGCAGGACAAAGATGCTCGGCATCTTCTGTCAAGTGCTTAGATCGCTCCACCCCTCCCGCGTTCCTGCCTGCAGCAAACTTCTCTCTCCTGGGCTGGTCCTGCCCCTTAGATGCAGCTCTCCTTGGCAGATTTCTCACGTGTGACATCTCCAAAATCTTGTGTCCACTGCAACTAAGGTTCCCTGTCACAGCTCCACACACGGGGCCTTCATGCAGGGACTCTCTGGCACGTGCTGCCTGGTCTCAGAGGCTCTCTGAAGCCACAGAGGTCTCCTTCATATCTAAAGCCAGCACCATGGGACAACTTAGCCAAGTACGGCTACAAGCTTAGGGTGGGGCCTTGAATCACATGGGCATCAGTGCTTTTCAGCTGCTTTCTAGGATCAGAAGGTTGCTATGGTAAAAATAAAACACTGCAGAGTGGTGGCAGTGGGCAGTGGCACAAGATACCCCCCCTCTGCTCTTCCCCTTCTCTCCTTACCTCCTTTCCCTTTCCCTTCCATAACTCACTAAATAAATGCCCACTTTCTCTGCATGGCATGCCTATCTCTGTCTCTCACCCTCCATGTGGCTCCCTGCCTGGGATCCGCTGACCCTCACGACCCTGTGGGCTATTCGGGGAACTGGGAACTGCAGCGTTTTACTATGGCAGCTTCTCATAGCCTCCTTGGGCTCTGCTGCAGCCACTTGGGGAAAGGCACTGTTTTATTTTTACCATAACAAAGATGCCTTAGGTTGTCTTTTACACACGGGAGACTTGGCTAGGTGGGGGTCTTACACAGATCACCTTTTTCCTGTGTTCCGGGGCAGGACAAGCTTCTCCTCAACCACGCTAATCTTCCACTCTCCAGCAAAGGCCTTGGCTGCAGCATTCCGCTTCCCAGCGCTCCTTTCTCCACAAACTGTATGGTTCATCTTGTTTTCTGGCCCAAATCTCCAAACTTTTTCCACAACACCCCACCCACCCATCGCACACCAACTTAGCCAAGTTCATCACAGCAATAGCCTACTCTCAGTACCAATTTCTATTGTGTTTCCTCACAGTCTATATTAAGTTAGCAGCTTTCATAAAACTAGAACTTTACACATTCTATAATTGTTTGGAATTGAAGCTAATAAAGAAACTGAATTGGTCATTTTGAGGGTAAAAACAGAACAAGTTTGTATCCAGCTGTTAATGCTGTCTCCTGGGAAGGCAAAGAATGGTCAGAAGGTGAAATGGGAACAGGAGGGAGCCTAGGAGCTATCATTGCCCTTGACTAGTTCTAAGGCACTATAGCCACAAGTTCCTTTTTGCCAGCGATAAGGAGGGCAACACCCTTTTTAGGCAGTAAGAACTTTCTCTGAGCAACCTGAGGGAATGGGAGCTTTGTCTGAATGCCTGGCCTGGGGAAAAGGACTTTGTAGTTTTATCTCTCTTAGTGTGAGCCTTAGAAAACAATTTTTTTTTTGTTTTTGTTTTTTTGAGACAGGGTTTGTTTGTGGTTTTGGAGCCTGTCCTGGAACTAGCTCTTGTAGACCAGGCTGGTCTCGAACTCACAGAGATCCGCCTGCCTCTGCCTCCCAAGTGCTGGGATTAAAGGCGTGCGCCACCATCACCCGGCAGAAAACAATTTTTCAATTGAAGTTTCCTTTAGTATCAATAAAAAAATATGACTCAGTATATTCAAATAGTTTAAACCCAAAAAAGGTAGCAAAGACAAGGAGGTTAAACATGTAGTTTTTGAACATGACTAGATCTTGAACAAGGAAATGCATTTTTAAAAAAACATTAGTTAATATTTTTAATGCTTTGACCTTTCAATATAGTCTTTTACATTGTTATTCTCCCATTACAAAATTTTTCCCATTGTTATTTTACAGCTGCAGTTTTGCCTATGTTATGAATCTCAATTCAAACATCTGACATGCAAGTGGTCCCAGACTACCCCTGTACAACCCACAAAAGATTGAGATTCATAGGCTTGGATGCTGTTCCAAACCCTCTGTCAAACTGTCTAGGTCATTGTCTTCTACATCACAAGAAATGAACATTTCCATTTCTCGTTAGTTTTTGGTGCTTACGGCTGTGACCCTAATTTTTAGCCTTTTAAGTTCAAATATTAACAATAAAACATTTTGTAAGTACAGACGTCCCACAGTCTTATAAATTTAAGTATTTTAAAAAATTAAAATCTCGGGGCTGGAGAGATGGCTCAGTTGTTAAGAGCACTGATTGTTCTTCCAGAGGTCCTAAGTTCAATTCCCAGCAACCACATGGTGGCTCACACCCACCTATAGTAAGACCTGGTACCAACTTCTGGCCTGCAGAGACACATGCAGGCAGAACATTGTATAAATAAATAAATAAATCTAAAAAAATTAAAATCTCTTAAATGTCTTCCTGCAATATCAAAAATAAAGTACCTCTTTGGCCCCACCCTCAACAACACACACATAACCTGTCTTTTAGAGCTCCGCCTGCTCCATTTCACTGTAGCTGGTGCTTTTGGTGATTATAACCAGGCTGGCCTCAAACGCACAAAGATCTGCCTGCCTCTGCCTCCCAAGTGCTGGGATTAAAGGCGTGTGCCACCACCACTGGCCTTTTAATCCTTGTTTTCTCTCTTCATTCTTTCAGTCTCCTGTTTTCTCCCTCACTTTCCAAACAACATACCAAAGTCTTTCTTGCTTCTCAGACAATATAAAAAACTCTTACCAAAGTCTTTTTTTATGTTTTCCTTCAGTAGTATATTATATATTGTATGACTACAATATTTTAAATAACAGAAACATGCATATACTATAACAAAAATAACTTTAAATTTACATAAAAATCCTGTACCAGCGTGAAACATCTGAGACTAACAGATTTTTTTTCATACTCCTAACCAATAGTGATTTGTTACCAGCCCCTCTAAATGATGACATATATTTATAACCCATCAGATCTGAATGACCAAAGCAGCTCTGGTGGAGGGAAGTCTGACTATAGTGTCACAACAGGTCACTGCAGCTTAATACCTATAGCCAGTGACTATGACTCATTACTTTTTGCCTGCAGAGCCAAACCTTGGCCAGGTTTGGCCAGAAATCGAGACCCGCAGCCCCAAGGGCAGGCTGAGGAAACCCATCCACCACTGAGGAAACCCATCCACCGGCATGGGATGGGGCAGGGTGGCATGCAGCATGGGGGGCTTAAGGGGAAAACCTGCAAAGGCAAAGGGGGTACAGTCAGATTAGGCATAAGGAAAGGCTTAACCCACAGAAGGGGGTCATCAACTCGGTCGATGAGACCCTGGAAAGTCACAATGTAATAAATCTGGTCCGGGTTTCCAGTACGAGGTCGGAAAACAATGTTCTCAACCTTAGGAAAAGTCAGATTGAGGTGTAAAGATCCCAGGGGCCAGCCCACATTGAAAGAGGACCATTTGGAAGAACAGAAAATGACCCATGGTCTGTCCATTCAAGTCAGTCATCAACAGAGATACAAAGATAGAATACACAAGACCGACAAACAGAACAGTTAGACAGAGGGTCCAAAACAGACTCCCATAGGTACCAGATGGTATGGTTTGTGGAGAGCCCAGAGATTCAGCCTCAACAAGATCAAAAACCATACTAATGGGACAGGAACCATTCAGTAAGGCGACCTGATCCCCAGAGACTTCAGATTTAGAGTTACAGACGGGCCCCACTGGGTCCCTGATGGTCTCAGATGAGAGACCCCCATCCAGACGAGAAAAGGGGACATCTCTCAATTCCCCCAGGTCTGCCCTCTAGCATGTCCACGGTGTAAATTGACCTATTCAGATTCAGATTCAGAGATCAACGCTGATAAAAACAGAAGATAGACAGACAAGACTTTAAACACAGATAGACTTATTGCGGTTGCTCAGAATAAACCTTCGGGGTTGGGGGTCCTGATGGGGGTCTCAGGGAATCCCGGACAAGCCCCCCAAATGTCATGTCTAGTCTGTGGAGACCCCAAAAGACCACCAGAGAGACCAACTCACTAAAATGCAAAAGCAAGGTCTACATGTGTAAATTTTCAAGCCAGCAGGGACCTTGTCAAGCACAGCAGTGAGAAAAATACCCCCCCCCCCCCGCCCTATTAGAAGGCGTTACTTAAAGGCAAAACCCAGAAAAGTTACATTAGCAGAGTGTGGGGTGATGGGTTCAATCCTGATTGGCTCGTGTCTAGGGACTTTTCACAAATTTTATTTTCAAACCTTGCTTGTTTGTTAATTTTTCTTATCAACTGACCTTTGGGTGAGGATATTCTAAGGTTGTGTGAGCTTTCCAGATGCTACCCTGTTACTTTTGCCCCTAGCCATTTCTGAGGACTGGAATGTTTTACAGGAAAAAACTTACACAAGACACAAGATGGAGGCAGAGGACAAAATGGAGGAACTTTGGTCCTTCACTACCTTCCTCCTCCTCCTCCTCCTCCTCCTCCTCCTCCTCATCCTCATCCTCCTCTTCTTCTTTTTAAATAAAGCCAGAATAGTCACTATCAGACCTTCAGTTGACCTTAGGACCTAAGCAAAGGGCAATCCAGAAGTCCCTAAATTCCATATCCTTCTGCCTGTACCTATTTCATAGTGGGGTAGTGGTAGAGACAGGGTTTCTCTGTGCATCCCTGGCTGTCCTGGAAATCGCTCTGCAGACCAAGCTGATCTGGAACTCAGTGATCTGCCTGCCTCTACCTCCTGAGTGCAGAGATTAATGGCATTTGCCACCACTGCCTGGCCTGACTGTACCTTTAACACACTGGCATTCCAAGTATCAGTCAGGAACATAGGACTCTTGCAGTTGGGCCACAAGCCTGATTATTACTTTGTTATGAGCCAGAAAAAAAAATCACTTGTGGTTCCCCACTGAAAATTTTAAACAGCGAATAACATATTCTTTGTTGAACATAATAGATATATAATGTTCTTTGACTATACTCGGTCCATTATCTTCTCTCATATCCCCTTTAGCTCTCTTTTTCTGCCTCCTACTGCCCCCTACTTTCATGTCTTTTGTTACTGTTGGTGGTGGTGGTGGTAGTGGTGGTAGTGGTGGTGGTGTGTACGTGTTATGTATGTTGACAAGATCTGGTGTAGCCCAGGCTGGTGCCAAGTTTACTATGAAACCAAGGTTAACCTTCAACTATTGGTTCTTCTGCCTCTACTTTCAGGTTCTGGGATTTGCCAACATGCCTAGTTGAACCCACAAATCTAATTCTTGAAGTTGGCCCACAAATCTAATTGCTAAAACTTGAGGTATATTTGACAAATGAATATTCAGAAGTTCTAGAAGAATTCTTAGAAGAAATTGCCCAGAAATACTTTTTTAAAAAAACATTAAAAAGCAACAGATACTAAGTGTCAAGAAGTTAGGTGAGTAAATATCTTTAAAACACAAGGCTGAGAAATACTTGCTAGCCAAGCCTTGTGCTTCATGAATGTAACGCCAGCTATTCAAAGAGAGTAGAGTACAGAAAGTTCCAGGTCTTATTTGACTATGAATTGACATCAAGTCCACCCTTAGTGACATCTCAACCTTAAAAAGTAATAAAGTCAGGTAGTGGTACCCAAACCTTAAATCCTAGCACCTGGGAGGCAGAGGCAGGAAGATGTCTGAGTTTGACAGAAGCCTGCAGAGTGAGTTCCAAAAAAAAAATTATACTAATTATATCAAAGGCTGAGTGTGTAACTCAGTGCTGAAGCCCCTGCCTGGTGTAACTGAGTGTGTAACTCAGTGCTGAAGCCCCTGCCTGGTGTAACTGAGTGTGTAACTCAGTACTGAAGCCCCCGTGGTTCAATCACAGTGACAAGACCTAACACCTTTGTTGGTTTGGAAGGTTCTTTTCTTTTCAAATGTGCGTTGATATTTTGCTACTCCTTGAACTAGAGTTTAGACCGTTTGTGAGCTGCCATGTGAGTGCTGGGAATTGAACCCCGGTCCTCTGGAAGAGCAGTCAGTGCATAAATCACTGAGCCATCTCTGCAGCCCCGGAATTCATCTTCTGAGATAAAGAATATTGATAGATGATATGCCTGTATGCGTCAAAAGATGCAGCATGTTTATTAATTTTGTTCTCTTCCTCATTTCTCATTTTATTCTATTACTCTATATGCGTTTTTATGTGGGTCACATGATAAACTGAATCCCCAACTCCTTAATAGGATGCAATATGCTGTTTAAAAATGCTCCTTGCAGCAGAATCATACCTTGTGAATGAGAGCTTGGGGTGATGTTCATCAATCTAATTCGGAAAAGAATACACAAATCGGAAACCCGGCAGAGTTCAGAGCCACGCTTTTGTCCTTGAAGCCACCTGCCTAACCACAGGTTGAGGAGGAACTGCCCGCCAATTCAAGGGTTTGAGGCCACCCTGGGCCACAAACCAAACCCACGCCTCCCGACCCCCAGAAAGCAAAAACTTGTTCTTCCTTCTGGAGTCTTTTCTTCCATAAACAACATTCATCTGGCGTGAAGAGAAGGCTGTAAAAATATCTATGGGCCCATGCCCCGCACGCCCACAAGCCACAGCCTTCTCTTTCAGGGGCTGCCTCCCCTGTGCCAACGATCAGAACCGCCTCTCGGTACCTAGCCCCGCCCCTAGGCCCGCCCAGAACGCCTCTGGCCCCGCCCATAACGCCCCTGTCCAAGGAGACGCCCCGCCCCTCCCCGCCCCCTGGCCTAAGGCCTCCGCGGCGGCCTAGGCTCTCAGCGCTTGCTCAGTGCCGGCCGCGGCGCGCGAGGTGGCGGAGGCCGCGGCTCAGCCATGGCGTCGGCCGCACTGGGCAGCTCGTCGAGCCCGGCGTCCCCGGCCGTGGCCGAGCTCTGCCAGAACACCCGGGAGACCTTTCTGGAGGCCTCCAAGCTGCTGCTCACCTACGCCGACAACATCCTGAGGTGCAGCCGGGGCCCTCGAGCCCGGAGGGCCGCAGGCGGGCGGGGCCGCCGGCACTCGGGCCTGAGGCGGGGCGGGCAGGGCGACGTAAGCTCGCCAAGGTTGTCACTGCAGGATCCCCGGCTCTGTGACCCAGCCCGAGTGCGGGCTAAACGTTCACGCCGCGTTTGGTGGTTGAAACCTTTGTAGTTTAAAGTTACGAACTTCCGATGGATTTCTGGGCTTTACTTCCACCCGATTCCGTAAGAGTTTTGAAGGCCACCACACCGGAGAAGTCGCGTTCCGTTCAGAGGGCAGCACTCTCCGCGGCTGCTCCGCACGGGGTCGGCGCTGGAAGTTGGAGTCAGCCCCCTGCTGCAGCTCTTTGGGGAAAAGGCCTGCGGGAGGGGGGCGGACGGTGGAGGTTAAGGAGGTTGAGGTGTTGACTGACGTCACGCCCCCGGGCGCCGGCTCTCCTAAGTTCACGGTCGCTAAGTCCCTAGGAATTCTCAGCTTCACAGCTGGACGTGTCCTGTGGCCCATTTTCAGAGGATGACTTAGAAAGGGTTGGTCTGAGACGGGGTGCTGTCCTATATAGCCCAGGCTGGCATGGGGCTTGCTCTGTGGCCCGGAACTCATGCCAGTCCCCTTCTTGACTTTCCGAGTGCGCAGATGACAGGTGTGAGCCGCCCTAGTAACATTACTGATTTGAAAGTCAATCGGAGAGAGAACCGTAGGTGATTATGTGCCGTACGTCACGCAGCATTAAGCCTGCTCACAGCTACGTAACTGTGACCTGCATGACCATCACCACCCTCCTCTGTGACACCTCAGCTTAAACTCTTCCGTTGTGACACCTCAGCTTAAACTCGTCTACCCTGCCATCTCCCAACACCTCAGAGTACAAGATGCCCATAGACTCTGAAGGAACGCATAGGGTGACATGATTCTCGGGGACCTGTGGCTGAGATCGCCTCCTGAATTCTTAAGTCCCCGACCCAACCCCCTGTACGGAAAAGAGGGGTGGATTAGCGACGAAGGTTCTGCTTTCAGTACCCTCAAACCAAAGGTGCTGCCATCAGAGAGTGCTTGAAGGCTTGCTGTGTGGAGACAAAGATTGCTATCTGAGCCCTCATCATGAATGTTTACTAAACTTCTAAAAGAAACTAGGCTTCCTCTTACAGCCTTCAGCCTTGGCTGTAGCTTGTAGTTCTGCTCTTGAGCTTTTATCTAAAAAGGAAATTAGGAGTTGCTAACTCAAATGCTTCAGACTGACGTGAGAACTTGCTCTCTTAGTTTGTAGTCAACAATAGTGACCTGTGTTCTTAGAATTCCAAGACCCATCCTCCACATCCAGTGACTTCCTTACTCTTCCTGGGCCCTGGCCATACTTCTCTCATTTGACCAGAGAAAAATCAGGTTTCCGTTTCCATGGCTTTTTTTTTTTTAATCCACTAGCAGTGAGGTGAAAGCACTTTTGAAAGCATATTGTCCCACCCTCTCCTCTGACCTCAGAGTCTCAGGATGGTTTATAGAATGGAATTGCAAATAAAAATTTCATTAGCACATTTTTTAATTATAACTTTCTTTTTTAAATATTTATTTATTTATTTATTTATTATGTATACAATATTCTGTCTGTGTGTATGCCTGCAGGCCAGAAGAGGGCACCAGACCTCATTACAGATGGCTGTGAGCCACCATGTGGTTGTTGGGAATTGAACTCAAGACCTTTGGAAGAGCAGGCAATCTCTTAACTGCTGAGCCATCTCTCCAGCCCCTCATTAGCACATTTTTAAACTGATACTTGTTGCTGTAATCTCCAGTGACACAATCCTTTAAAATTTCTGCTCCAGTGACGTGTACTATCTCCCCAGCAGTATTACATCTAATTAAACCAGGAAGAAACGTGAGCTAATTTGTATGCAAAAGATGTTCCTTCCACCCAGTTTCAGATAAGGTGAGCTTGCTATCTACTTTCTCAAAAGCAAAGCAGAACAGCTCTGTATCAGTTTCACTGATGTCACAAGTGGGCTGTTTGCTAATTTGATTCATGTGCCCAACTTTGGCCTGGAATTTGACATGTTATCTGAGAATGATCTTAAGCTACTCACCCTCCCACCTACACCTCTAGATTACAGGCATGAGCTGTCACACTTAGTGTGATGA